ATCTACAGAGGGCAGGGGAATCACAGACCGCAGCCGGGGGAGCGAGCACTCCAACCGATCGTACACGCGCGCGTTCCATCACAGCAGACGTGCGAGGCTCGCCAGAACCGGATCTCCGTGTTCTGGTTCTCAACACATAGACCCCCTGAGGCCAAGACCCCTTCCCTGAGGCCTGCTTTTCGCCCCCAGGCCGTTTTCGCCACGGTGCCCCAGGCCCGGTGGGAGCCCCCTGGAGGCGGCAAGCTGCCCAGGCGCCCTCCGGTTGTGGTCTCTTCGCAGCGCCTGATCTACCCCCAGAGCTGCGCCTCTTCGCCGAGCCCACGACGACTGCAGAATGCTCCGGGGATCTGCGGAGCGTTCAGCTAGGGGGCCACATGCGAACCCTACCCCTACCCCCCACCATTTCTGAGGGGGAGGGTGGGGTTCACTCCGTTCGGGAGCTCCCGAGCGAAGTGACCCCCCCCCCTCAAAAATCGGGGGGGGGGGGTAGGGGTAGGGTTCGCATCAGGCTAGCCATCAGCGCATCCCTCGTGGGCCCGATGGGGAAGTTAATTATGCAATGGAGCGCATCGATTCTGTAGTCGATCCCCCGCTCGAGTGGGGGGACACATGCTCTGAGGCTCCAGGGGCCATCGACCGGTGGGCGCTCGCCCTCGGCGCCACCGCGGCGCCAGAGGAGCCGCTGGCCGCCGACCCCAGCGGCGGGGTGAGCCGCGGTGGGGCGGGGAGCGCCATGGGAAGAGGCGAGAGGAGGGAGGAGGGAGGAGGGGGGAGGGAGGAGGGAGAGGGAGGAGGGAGAGGGAGGAGGGAGGAGAAGGGACGAGGCAGGAGGGAGGAGGGAGGAGGGAGGATGGATGGGTAAAGGATCACATTGACTGGTGGAGCTCGATGCTGACGACTGACAAGGGCAATGATGACGCTGGCTATGTTGACAACGAGTGTGCAGATGACGATAATGAGGAAGTGCGCCCTCGCAGACATTAAGAAGTTGTTGATGCTTCGCGTATCCCCACCAGCTCCGTAGCCCCCCCTGGCTCAAGCCGCTGCCCCTATTCCCCCCTGGCGGGGGGGATCGGGTTAGGGCTCAAGGAAGCGTCCAGACGCACCCGGCCCCCCGCTCCGGTCTCCCCGCCTGGGGCCCTCCTCATGGCCTCGGCTGCCGCGGCCGCCAGGGTCCCAGCGTCTCGGACCACGATCCGCCGCCGCCAGCGGCGCGCGGCTGCTTCGCGCGGCGCGCCGCCCCCCGGGCTGGCGCCGCTGCTTGCTGCTGGCGCAGGCGGGGTTTTGGCTGCTGCCGCCCTCGCCGCTGGTAGGTCCCCCGACGCTGGCGGCGCCGCTCCGCGCGCGGCGGCCGGGCCCCTGGGCTCCGAGGCGGCTGCCGCCTGCGCCGGCGCGGCGGCCGCCGGTGAAGCGGCGGCCGCCGTTGGCCTTTGGCCGGCCGCCGCGGCTCTGGCGCGCTCGGCCCGCCTTGCCGCCCTGGCGGCCGGTGCCGTCCCCGTTTCCTCCTGGCCGCCACCCGCGGCGGCATATCGGCAGGGTGCCGCCGCGGCGGGCGCCTCCTTCGGGCAGTGCGCTGCCGCTGCCGCTGCCGGCCCGCTGCCGGCCCAGTCGCCGCCGCCACTGGCGCGGTCGGCCCCGACCTCTTGCGTCACCGCTGCTGCCGCCACCAGCTCGCGTGCGGCTGGCGGCGGCCCCCAGCGCGCCGGCCTGCCCGCCTCGGCCGCCGACGCTGGCGGCTCGCGCGAGGCGGCCGCCGCGGCTCTCGCCCCCGTGGGCGAGGGGCCCGCCTTGGCGGCCGCCGCCGGTGCCAATGTTGCCGCCGCTGCCGCTGCCGAGGCCTGCTCCCCGCTGGCCACGGCGGCGGCGGAGGTCGCGGCAGCCGGCGCCGCTGCGGTCGTCTGCGACGACGAAGAGGACCGGTAAGATGAGGGCGTGAGGGTCGAGGTGCAGGAGATCGTCGACAGCAACAACAACAGCAGCAGCAGTCCCCTGGTGGCAGCCCCCAGGTGTCAGCAGCAGCACCCTCACAATTCTGACAGTCAGAAAGAGGTACCCTTGCACCCTTGTAGCCCTGTGTCCTTTGGCGAACGAGGTACCCTTGCATCCCCGTGTCCGCGTCCTGACGCCCTCGCGGGCGCCCCAGGCGGCCAGCAGACCTTTCAAAGACATGCAGGGCCCGCTAGGCCAGAAAGGAACGCTGCGGTGGGGTCATCGGGCTCCCAAGTAGAAGCAAGGCCCGCTAGACCAGGAGGAGGCGGGGTTGACAGTCAGGAAGAGGTACCTTTGCACCCTTGCATTCCTGTGTCCTTTGGCGAACAAGGCACCCTTGCTTCCCCGTATCCGGGTCCTGACGCCCTCGCAGGCACCCCTCCGCTGACTAAAAAGCATCAGCGCCATCCCGCAGGCAGCCCTGACCTTCGCGCCCTCCGACGTCCGAGTCCCGATGCCCTATCGGGCAACCCTGGCGGGCAGCAAACCTTACCAAGCGAAGCAGGGCCCATTAGGCCAGCAAGGATAACCGCGGTTACGTCGTCGGATTCACAAGATGGAGCAGGGCCCGTTAGGCCAGAAGGGAACGTTGTTTCGGTCTTATCGGTCTTCCAAACTGCAACAGGCCCCGTTCGGGCAGAATGAAATCGTGATGTCTCGAGCCCCCGCCTTCCCCCTGGCAGCCAGTCAGAACGTGGTTCGCAACGGCGCCCGACGGCAGTGACCCGCGACCGCCCCGAGAGGGTGCCACTGCGGGAAGGCGCAATCTCTCCCGATGGAGCCCCCGCTGCCATCGGGAGCCCGCGCCCTGGATCGGACAGCGGCGCGACGGCAGGACAGCCATCCCCGACGGATGTTGAAGACCTGCCCCTGGCCTGTCCCGACGTGGTCGTCGCTGGCAGCCGCGACCCAACAGGGCCAAACCTCAGCTGCGCCGACCCAGCGGAGCCAGCCCTGGCGGCCAGCAAACCTCTCCAAGTGAGGCAGGGCCCGTTAGGCCAGCAGGCATAACCGCGCTTGCGTCAGCGGATTCAAAAGATGAGGTAGGGCCCGTTAGGCCAGAAGGGAGCGTGGTTTCGGTTTCATCGGTCTTCCAAGCTGAAACAGGCCCCGTTAGGGCAGAAGGAAGTGGTGATGTCTCGAGCCCCCGCCTTCTCCCTGGCAGCCAGCCACAGACTTGTGCCCCCCTCTCTCCCGCGGGCGACCGAGGCACCCCTGCCCTCCGACGTCCGAGTCCTTACGCCCTACTGGGCACCCCTGGCGGCCAGCAGACTTCGCAAGAAGAGACAGGGCCCGTTGGGCCAGAAGGGGGCGGATCCCAAGGAGAAGCAGCGCCCGTCAGGCCAGGAGGGAGCGGGGTTGACAGTCAGGAAGAGGCACCCTTGCACCCTTGCGCCCTTGCGTCCCTGTGTCCTTTGGCGAACAAGGCACCCTTGCGTCTCCGCGGCCGGGTCCTGACGCCCTCGCGGGCGGCCCTGGCGGCCGGCAGACTTCTCCAAGAGAAGCGGGGCCCTTTAGGCCAGAGAAGCAGGGCCCGTTAGGCCTGAAGGGAACGGGGTTTCGGTCGGTGCTTTCGAAGCCTCCTCGCTGGGGAACCACGGGCCGGCCCGGCAGAGACAGGACAACCAGGCCATCCGCCAGCTTGTCGACAGAAGCCCTTTCGCGCCCATTCGCCTTCATCCCTGGCGGCGAATCCGCCCGATCGGACTCGCAAGGAGAAGCAGGGCCCGTTAGGCCAGTAGGGGGCGAGGTTTCGGTCTCATCGGTTCACCAAACTGATGCAGGGCCCGTTAGGCGAGAAGGGCCCGTTTGCCCGGAAGGGAGCGGATGCGTCCCTCTCGGTTCTGGCGGACAGGTTCCCTTGCACCCGTGCATCCCTGTGTCTTTTGGCAAACGAGGCGCCCTTGCATCCCGGTGTCCGAGTCCCGGACGCCCTCGCGGGCTCCTCTGGCAGCCGGCAGACCTCTTCTAGAGAAGCAGGGCCTGTTAGGCCTGAAGGGAACGCTGCGGCAGCGTCGTCGGACTCGCACGGAGAAGCAGGGCCCGTTTTGCCAGAAGTGGCGAGGTTTCGGTCTCATCGGGCTCTCAGCACCCTGGCCGTTCCCTCCCTGGCAACGGCGCGAGCTCGAGCACCGA